GTGCATGATACTTGTGTACACATATGTTGCACATATTTACCATGTATCATGCTAATTTATGTATATATACAATCTATTTACACACTATACACTGTTACACACTATATACATTCACCATCAACACATTCAGAACACCACGAGTGAGAGCTGTCACATCCAGCCAGCCCTCCCTCACTCCAACATTTTACTCGTCAACATTGCTCCTCCCACCATACTGTTATTGCTTTTATTACACTATTTACACATGCTATATATACCTATCTACATGTTTTATTTACCAGAACTATGCAAGTAACCCATTATTGTGTCCAAACAGTACAGTGGCCACCATACACTGCATGAGAAATCACACAGCAGACAGCAGACAACACCACGATTACGACGTCACCTCCCTCACCAAAATAGCTCCTCTCAACATACTCCTGTTGCTGTTATTACACTATATACACACACACTCTGTATATACCCATGTACATATGTGTTCCCCATAACGAACCACGAAGCTAGTATTGTGAGCAAAACAAGAGTGGCTGCCACACATAGTGAGGCTACCTCAATTCTCTCCCTTCCTCACCAAAATTCCTCCTTCCACAATACTACGCACAACGCTAATTATAACCACAATCCTGGTCACTAATTCCTGTAAATGAATAATTGACCACAAGTTTATTTTGAAAAGGAACCTAGGAATTTGTTTGAAGATTCCTAGATGAACAAAATAATGCTATGGTGCTGTGGCTAGCGCTGTGAACATCGTGAACAGCATTGAATCACTGATATTTGAACATTGTACCCAGTCATTATCACACTCAGGCTCTTCTATAATACTATCATGGATAAATAATACAGGTTATATATATATTTTGACATTATTAGGCGATGCTGTGGTCACACGCTGAACAGCAGTGCTGTGCGCACATGCTGCGAGTGCCAGCCTTGGTTGCTCACTCATTACTGAGGCTCTCATACCTGGGAATGTGGACCACGATTTTTTTAAAGATGGTGTCTGTTTACAAGAGCCCTGAGGAAGCTGATGTGAACCCCATGTAGCCACGGGAGTTTTGAATGGAACATGAAAAATACAAATACCCGGAGGCGCGTAGCACACCCCAGACGTGGGCCTGCAGGCGCTTTGCGTAGTTGAAGGGTTAACCACTGTGATGCGCCGAGTTTATTGTGAAATTCCCCGTGCAAATGAAATCAAGTGTTCCCCCAATATTATTTTGCTTATTAAAATGATGAATTATCTTCCCTGAACATGTCTATGTAAAAATAAATGTCAAATTCCAGTTACTTGTGCCATGTGGACATGGACAAGGTGCACTGGGATGTCATCAAGGGCTGGTCGCCCATGTGTGAAGCTCCCAGACACAGTCACTCGGGGCCACTCAAGACCCGCCAGTTGCCACAATTATATTTATAAATATTATTTCTTTGTATTTTCAATGCATTCTAATTTTTTTTTGTATCATATACGATGTATATGTGTCCTGATAATGTATATAAAGTATAATGTTCCATGGAACTGTGATACATGTGTCACTAATGTGTCCTCGATAAATGTTTATTGTTGCAAATATTACTTGTTCTACCTTCACTAATAATACATTATATACAGTTTCACACACTATTTACAAAGTAACACACTGTATTACACTCTTAGTACTTAGCAAGCGAGTGATATTCAAAGAAGCAGTCCATGAGACAAAGCAGGACTTTGCACTCGATGCATATGGTACACACAGATTTTCGCTTCCTTGTTTTTCATTCTGAGTTCTTGCAAACAATGCACTCACGTATGCCTTTGGCTTTAGTTCCTGTAGGTGGTAGGTAGGCAGGCTTGTGAATTGCAAAGGCTTCTTTACCAGCCAGTCTGTTGGAAACTAAAAGTGATCTTGTTGGGGCATGAAAAACGGTCCTTACGCTGTCTTCTTGGCCATATTTGACGAGTAATTGCGACAGCAGAGCATGACTAAACACTCGAATTGATGGTTTTTTGCCCGTTTTCACCAAAAACATGTTGAAACAGTTGAGCACTGTTACGTCCACAAGATGAAAGAAGTATTTCCTTGTCCACTTTACATTTTTGCAGACACACTCGACGGCACCAACCATCCTGTCACATTTAACTACAAGTCTCATATTTATATTGTAGTCAATGATACAGTCTGGCTTATACAATGATCCATCACCACGATACCTCACTTTGCCACTGTCAAGCATTTCACCAGTGTGAATAGTTGACAACATATTGACTTCTCGTTTGTCTTTCCAGCGCACTGCTAATATTTTGTTACATTTTCTAAGTTCCCAATCACCTACACCAATATTATTTAAAAAACTGGCATTTTTTCCTATTTGTCTTTACAGTGCCACACACACCCGTGTTTCGTTAGCAATGGGCTTGTATAATAATTGTCAGTGTACAGAATGTGTCCCTTGTTCAGTAGTGATTCTATTAGCGTCTACACTACACTGCCAGAAAACCCGTGAGGATATTCTGCGGGTATGTTTACGTCTGTACCAGAATATAATATCATATCGATCACCATTCCGGTTTCACAGTCACACAGTACAAAAAATTTGAGACCAAAACGGTGCTGTTTCAATGGGATGTACTTTTTGAAGAGAAGACGACCCTTGAAAAGAACTAGGAATTCATCAAAGACAACATTCTGTCCAGGTGCAAAGTAGTCACGAAATTTCCCTCTGATATCACTGAACACTTTTGCACTCTCCAAAGTCGATCATTTCTATAAAAATTTTCAAGGTTTTCGAAGTGTAGACACCATAGTAGTATCAGGCACCTGTCTCGTGACATGTATTTGTTGAACACAGGTGATGGAACAGCAGCGCCTTTGTTCCAATAATCCTGTGTGACATGCTTCACCGAATGTTTCTGGAGCATACATAGAGCAAAGAACACATACAACTCAGCCACGGTGGTGTCCTTCCAACGTATCACAAGTGAAGCATGCAATATGCCACTTTCAACAAGTTGCCCCAGCATATCTGTTGGTTTCGGCAACAAGATGTTGCATGAACTGCTCATCAAAATATGCAAGAAAATAGTTCATTTCTATCATGTCGTCATCTGTGTATGGGAACGTGGGTGCAACCCCCACATCACTATGATCAAATTGAGGTTTGTGTGGTACAAAAATATCACAGTCCTCCCACACAAATTCAGCCATTCTCCTTGTAGCACCGCCACGAGCGACTCCACTACAGGTGCGTTTTCTTGCACTAAATCTCCTTAGGGGAAGAGTTGGAGGTCTTCTATCTTGTCTACTAGTAGGGCAAGCAGGGAAAGTAGATGTAGAGGCAACACTGTCGTCAGTGTCGTCGTGAGGAATACATGGTGGTGCTTGGCAGGGCGACCTGCTGAGACAGCAGATCTGCGCCTGGTAACACAACGACGGCAGCTAGTGGCTCATCTAGTCAGTAGTTTGTAGTAGCTAGTAGTCAGTAGTCTACTAGCTCATCTGCTAGTAGCTAGCAGCCCTTGGCTCATCTATGCTACTTGTATCGGAAGCAGCGTCACTAAACCCAGAAAATGACTCGATAGTACCACTTTCGTCAAAAATGGGAGATGATTGTGGTGGTGGTGGTGGGTATAATACTGGCAAGGGCGATGACCTGTGATGCTCCACTGTGCGTGCAGATCGCCTTGAACAATACACGCTCACTGTATTGTGTTCATCTGTATCTGTTTCACTTCCATCGGACCTTTGTGTTATGTCTCTATAGGTCCTTGTGTCACCAATATAATATTCCACTTCATCTTCAAACAATAAAGTGTTTATCTCCCCTGGAGAAAGCGGTGTTGCAACAGTGCATCCCGCAGGCGACTGGGAGCTTGAAGTGCATGCATCAGCCATGGTTGCTCGATCAGTACTGAGGCTACCTTCGGGCCTGGGGCATTCTGGGATTTTTTTTTAAAATGGCCATCGCTCACTGATGGCCTCAGGCATCCATCTCGTACACAACCAACTACGTGCGCGTCTCGAATGGGTACGAAAAAATAAAAAGGAGTTTTCTCGGTTGACGCAGTTTCCCAACGACCGAGAAAACTAGGTTGGCACAGTTCAGTGGTTGAGCCTAAAGCCTATATGGCTATCTGCCACTGAATACTGTATATGATGAAAAATGAATATGCTCTTCTGTTAAAAGGTTATATCAGTACAGTAAATTGACTTTTAATCATATCTGAAATCCTGAGCAAGCTTACAATAGTTTAATGATAATGATTTTGTTGAATAAGTTATGCATTTAAATCCGATAATTGAAGAAGTAAAATTATTTGTTATGTAAACTAATATATGCTACCTTTTATATAGAGTAATGAAAGTACCATACAAATAAATCTAGCAAAATAAACTAAAATGATTGCCTATTGCCTGAGTGATAGAAATGAGAGCAACTTACACTACAAAATTTACAGACTTTGCATTTTACAGTTATTTATCTTGTCAAAAATTAATTGGTAGTTTTCAAGTTACAAAATTATACAGCTTTTGATGAAATACTTGCCCCATAAATTTTGTTAAATGCTGAAGGACATTTTTCTTTGGATTTTTGTAATTTGTTTTGATAATTTGTTTTAAAACAAAATTCAAGATCAGGTGTTTATATTTGAAATAGTAAATTAAGCAGAAGAATAATTTTTATTGCAAGTTTTCAAACTCAAAAGTGAATTTAACCAATAGAAAACAAAATCAAATTCAGTACAATATTTAACATTGCAATGCATTTTAAGAATTAACAACAATAAATCTGAAATATGTACTCACACACACATGCAGTTAAAATAGTCTTACCTGTACACTGCACTTGTGAACAAAATTCTGAAATTTGTTTTCGATTAAGCTGAAACACATGAGACATGACTATTGACACGTCTATACTTTTGTTTTGTAGTTTGTGGGAAGAAGCATCACACATTTGCACCTTGTGTGTCATCTGGATCAATGTTGGTAGTTTTCTATATTGAGTCTTACCTCTAACACAAATGAAAGGACAACATCCATCTTCGACAGCGTGACCTCGTTGTCCATACTGTCACTATCGCGGCCACTTAACGAGCTCTGAGACCTGCTGTTCATGGGATCAGGAAAAAGTATTAGCTACAGATTTCAGTATATATTTATGAATATGGAAAAGGGGGAAGGAAATACAGGTGTTGCATATGATTCTTCTAAGAATCTTTTATATATAATGTAAACATGTATTAATGTGGATAAACTAAAATTTTTAGTAAACTAAGCATCATATATTGCATCATGTTCATGTATATGCTGGTACATACAAGTGCGCCAGTAAGTTCAGCATGAATATACAGTATGTAATATATAGGTAATGTTCAAAAGATGAAATTTCAAACTTTTACTTGCACATTAATGCAAACGTTGTACATACAGTAATTATAAATGTCCAAAACATTAGAGGTACATATAAATTGATCTACTTTTGTATATGTATTTTTTGGGCATATCAGATCCAAGAAACATACAGTACTAAATATACCTTAGTGAATATTCATAATTATTATACAGTACCACACATGGACATTTACATATCATACTTGTCAGTAATATCCTTCTTTTCATTAAAGTAAATCAATATTCATAAAATATTCATAAATTGTAGAAAAATAATTAGAGTAAAAGTAATAAACAATGAAAGTTGGACAGTTGGACAATTATTTAGATTTTTTTTAAATACAAATGATTATGATTGACTTTTAAAAAGAATTACAAAATGCCAAAATATATTGAAAATAATTTATTTATCAATGCTGAATATCATGCTACTTAAATGTGAAACTCATATTCTGTCAATTATGTTCACAAAGTAATACACAGTATTCTGATGCATTCAACATTCACATTTGTTTTTCAACTTACAACTTCCATTAAATAATCACAGAGCCATTCTATAATACCGCACCTTGTTTCATAGGCTACAGACAAATGTCTCAACAGTCACTCCTAATCAATCAAACATCTTTTCCCCTCATATTCTATTCACCCTGAACAGTTCTGGGCTTACAGTTGTGAGTTTTTGTTGTAATGACAACATACCTCACACAATTTTCAGCCTTTTATTAGAGAATTGCAGAGTCAGATAATTGCAGTAGTAATTAATACTGAATGGTGTAACATGATTCTGAGTATGCAGAGCTAATGGTATGATAAGGATGAGACTTGTATCATTCTCTTCCTCTTAAGCTAATTAGAGTAGGAATCATGTTCTGATCCATGGGCCAAAAACAATAATATCATAAAAAATAATCATAGATAAGTGTATTAGTATGAAGACACCCGGGACTTCAATCAAGCCATGAGTTTGGGCCAATGTTCACTACCTAAACCTAGCCACAAGGGTCTGGTGTTTCCTACGAGATGTTTGATATGCTTAAGTTAATACAATTCACACTCTTGCTTGACAGGAATGGCTGTGCTTAGAAATGAATCCAATAGGCCTGCTCAACCAGGCCTTACCAGCATAATGAACTGATTCGCATTTGTGGCAAGCTTATAAGGCTCGCCACATATAATGAAAGTACCTGGCCATTTGTCCAGGGACACTTAATTAAAAAAAAACAGCATTGAGTATACTGATACTCCTCTTTCTGAAGCTATTTCACTTAGCTTCCAACTACTGTATCACATAAGTCATATGGATCCTGTTTGGCAAACCATTGACCAGAGCCAAGACCTGGTTCTCTGAAAGGTGCAAAGCTGGAGATTTGTTATGATCACTAATGCTGAGAGAGTATCCAAAAAGTAAGCAAAACAATATAGATAACTGCATGGTTCACAAAAACAACATAATAACTGCCAAATGACTCTACAAATTATTTATTCAAAACCAAAATGGTTATCTTGAAGCTTCACTGGAATACTCTAGTGTGCAAAGCCATCAACAGGTGGCATCCAGGAACTCCCACTTTTGGGTTAGTATTGTGTCAATCTGGAGCTGATAGACCACGAACTGATATACTTGGTAGAGGGCAGAAGGAATCAGGGAGTTGCCAGGACTCTTAACAGAAAAAGGCATTTCATTACAGGATTTTCTGGGGGAGCCCCCCCAGTGGCTTCCTGAAGCTGTTTGGCCACAGAGAGGGAAGACAGAATGTACCAGAGAAGAGGCAACAAATACAAATTTGATGAAGAGATGCCAGGCCAGGAAACCCAGCTCAGGGCAATACAGACAGACTGGGACCATGAACAGTCCAACCCGTCCTCTTAAAAATAACGTCACTTTTCGCTCGTATGCGCGCTATGGCCAAATTTGGATGTAATTTGAAATGAAATCGACTCACAAAAGTGACGTACTATTCCGTTTTCTGTTTGAGTCGTCCGGCTTACTCGGTAAGGCTAGAACAGGCAACTTTCAATTAATGTTTTTCATAACGTTTTGAAACTTTATGAGAATTTCCTACCCACCTAACCTATCAGAGGACCCTTAACTTACTGTTGTTGAAAAAAAAAATCCCAAATTTCTTTTCTTTTTTTTTTCATTTTCAAATTACGTCCACTTTCGGCCATATGGGTAAACGGCCAAAAGCAAAGTTATTTTTAAGAGGACAGGTTGAACAGTCACCCGCTAAACACATGATGAAACTACACCGTTGCAACAACATTCGAACAAGGTTTCATTAACACCTAACAATTGTAACAACCAATATAGCAGGTTGTAACAATGTTCTAATACGTCATAAAAACATTATAACAAGATGTAGCAATTTTATTACAAGCTGTAACAAGGGAATCATAGGGACCATTACAGCCTTTTAATCTTCGTCTTTTAATCTTGTAGCCTTTTAATCTTGCAGTTTTTTAATCTTGCAGCCTTTTAATCTTGCAGCCTTTTAATCTTGCAGCCTTTTAATCTTGCAGCCTTTTAATCTTGCAGCCTTTTAATCTTGCAGCCTTTTAATCTTGCAGCCAATGTGTGTTTGAGGACACCTGATACCAAACTGCTAAAACACTATTAGACCTCCAAAATGCCCGAGCGCGAATATCCGCCCATGTCATATTTGAAAAAACCAGCGTTGAATGCAATGAAACGCCATTTTTTGAGTGAGTCCCAGAGGTTCTCTGGAGCTATCCAGATTTATACGTATAGCATTAGATTTTGGCATCAGTCAGTGTGAATGGGGTTCTAGGCCTACCAGGGACCATGGCCAGAACCTGGCCCCCTCAGAGAGTCATGAAGAAACGTTGTCGTCCCTTCACTTTTTAGTGTGTGGTTTGGTCAACAGAGCATTCTATATCTACCATCGACCAGGACAGGCACCCAGCCTGTCACGGCTCAAATAAACGCCTATTCTGGTTAAAATGACTGAAACAGAAAAACTAGTGGACAGAACTCTCAAATGAAAACAAACAAATGAGCATGACGTCACACGAGCTGTGCCGCATGTCTGTGCAGCTCCCCCCCTTCCCCTTCCTTGAAGGGGAAAGGGAGAGTCCCAGACCCCCATGCCGGCCATCCACCCACCAGTTCTGATGCTGGATGTCAAAAACACACAAAAAACTACCGACCGGAGGGAGGGAGGGTTGCCAGGGACCCTCCGGGACTCACCCAGAAAATGGTGTTTCATTACATTCAATGCTGGTTTTCTGGGGGGAGCCCCTACCGCTCCCTGGAGCTACTTCACCAAAAACTAGAGGGACTTACCCGGGAGGCCGTCGGTGCTCGCCCCTCGACTCGAAGTCGAGATAACAGGCTGTAACTGCCAACCCAAAGCGACATAGGCCCGACTAGGCCCAGGAAAATTAACAAGGTAGTGCGCAGCCAGGACCCCGTTCGACCCCCAAAAACCGTCAGAAAACTTCATACTGGCGCCGAGATGAAGCCCACAGGTGGGACACCATGAAAGAAGCCACCTGATCACCATACAGATGGTGATAGACTCAAGTCAAAAAGATCGAATGCGAAGACTCGAGGAGAAGAGCGAACCAGTCTCGTAATGGACTGGACCAATCTGTTGAAAGAAGAGGAGCCGTGAAAAATACTCCAGGTTCGGGCACCAAGCAAGCAGCGCCTAAAACCAAGGCTGGGCCGGCCACCATGGGGCCAAGAGGACTATTGGAGAGCTTCCACCTCTCTTCCTCTAACCGCCTGGTTCCAATAATGTTTCTACAAACACATGTGTTTCATACACCTTCCCCAATGGTTTATTTATATGTCTTTAAATGTTCCAGGCTGTTTTTCTACATTTAACACTTCTGTTTTTCTCTATTTTCTTGCACTGAATCTGCTTCTTAACCATTTATTACTTTTGTTTTCCTTGGTTTTTAGGAGAATACCTTTTCCTGTTAAGATGATGCTCTGTACATCTGCAGGGGTAAAGTACCAACTGTTTCTCAACATTTAACACTGCCATTTCTCCCTACACAAGGGTCTCTCTCTTACACTCTAAGCGAGCCAGGACCTGGAGCAACAGCTGAATATTAGAAAATATTCAGGTACAGGAAAGAGGTACAGAAACCCCCACCTCGACCAGTCCTGCCAGAAGGCATTGATCCCAATGGCCTCGCGGCTGGGGAAGGGGCTCCAGATATAATGGAAGAAGCCTCAACCACGCCGACGTGAAGAGGTCCATCTCTGGGCGCCCGAAAGTCTGGCAGAGCTAACTGAATGAGTCGGCATTGACTGCCCATTCCGTGGGCAGAGGAATAAACTGGGGCAGGCCATCCGCCAGGACGTTGGACACCCCCTGGACATGAACCGCCTGGAGAGCCAAACCCTGAGAACTCAGCAGATGAGTCACCCAAAGCGACTAGTTACAAAGAGCCAAAGACCGCAATGAACCTCCTTGGTTCAGACAATGAACCACCAGGGAGCAGTTCGAATGGAGCTAGATCGTCGAGTCGCAGATGACACAAATTCTTCGAAGCAAAAACCACACCTCCGCGAACTCCCGCACCGTGCTGTGGGCCCGACAGAAAGACGGACTCCACCACCCCTGGCCAGCCTGGTGAGCACTGGTCACAAAGCCCCAACCGAGAGACGTGTCCATGAACACACCATACAAATAATGGTAAACCTACATTCAGTACTGATGTGACTTTGGTCAGCATATT